TTACCCACTTCATTCTTACCACAGCAACGAGGCATGCAATTGGACTCTTTATGTCCCTTTTGCAGCAACCATGATGACAATCTTTTTCATCTGTTATTTCAATGTGCCTTTACGCAGGATGTATGGAGATCACTCGCTTGGAGATGTGGAAAAAGGTTTGTCCTTGGTACCTCTGTCCCTGATCTACTCAGGTGGTGGTTACTCTTCAGATTTAAATCACATGGACTTCGTAATATTTGGTCTTCCATCTTTTTTACTGCTATTGGGTTTCTATGGGAAGAGCGCAACATAAGAGTTTTTGAGTTAAGACCCACCAAGAGAGAGCTTATTGTTAAAAGGATTACCATGCATGTTTAGGCACTAGCAGAAGTTAAGAAATGGTCTTTTCATTTATTAGAAAAGGCAATAATTGGTAACCTCCGGATAACTTGGCAACAGCAGAGAGTTGCGACCTTTACCTTGGTAGCGTGGTCTTTTCCTGAGACTCACAATTACAAATTGTGAGTCCTTGAGAAATCCAGGCTTAGCAGGTGGTGGTGGAGTTATCAGGAATAGTGCGGGTGGTTTTATTGTTGCTTTTGCAAAGCACTTTGGTCTTGCTTCCAATAACCATGCAGAATTCTTAGCTTTTAAGGAAGGAGTTCAATTGGTCATTCAAAGTAATTTCTTTCCAAATCAAATTGAAAGTGACTCGGCTTTGCTTGTGAATGTCATTCAAAATCGATGCAACGCTCCATGGAGGCTAAAGACGATTGTTGACAATTGTTGCATCAAACTGTCTTCTCATCGATGGTCCATCACACGTGTCTTTCATGAGGCTAGCATGGTTGCTGATGCCCTTGCTAAGAGGGCAGCTGGCCCCGGTGCCACTGTGTGGCGCCATAGACCACCAGATTTTCTTTCTTCTCTTTTATTACATGATCTGGCACAAGTGCCCTTTCATAGGGTTGTACCTTAATTGTTTTCCTCTGATTTTTTATTAATAAAAAATGGGTAGAGAGCCTTCTCCCCCACTGACTTACCCAAAAAAAAGCCTTCTCTCTTATAAAGTAACAATCTACTTGCTTGTAACATCTTGCAGTCTATCCCGTTCGGCAGCTTTAGTACAGATATCTACAAGTAGATCACATTGAGTATGGATGATCTTGGCAGCAACCTTCCCTCTAATAAAGTAACAATCTACTCCAATATGTTTAGTCTTTTCCATGCAATATAGGATTCTTGAAGATATGAATGGAAGCTTGATTGTCACAGTGTTCTTACTTTTCCAAGAAACCATTTTTCCTAAAAGAAAGGTGCAATATCCAGTTGAGGATCTCTTATCAGTTTGACATCCACCCCAATAAGAATTAGTGTAAATAGCAACATCAAAATGCCCTTAATTATAGACAAATGTCCCTATCCCTGGAGCAGACTTGAGATATCTTAGTATTTGATATATTACATCGAGATAGGGTTTACATGATGCATGTATAAATCAGTTGACCACAATAACCACAAAAAGAGATGTCTAGTTAAGTGCTTGTGAGGTATATAAGCTTGCCCACTAATCATTGGTACTGGTTACTCGCCCCTTTCTCCATACAGTTTATGATAATTTTCTAAAGGAGTATCAAGTGGTCTAGATCCCAACATCTTAGTTTGTTATAATAGGTCCAGTACATATTTTCTTTGGGAGATAGCTTTCCCTTTCTTTGATCTTGCCACTACAATATACAAAAATACATAAGGGGATCTAAATCTTTGATATGGAACACCTTGCTTAAATATGACTTAAGATCCTCAATGTCTTTCACATTGTCCCTTGTCACAAGAATATCATTAATATACGTTATAAGGGTTGTAATCACAGCACTACTCTTCTTTACAAAGAGTGTATAATGAGCCCCATTACTTTGAAACCCAAATTTCAGCAGTGCGTCATTGAATTTTTCAAACCCAAATTTTAGCAATGTGTATTTGAAATGGTTAGGAAGATGGTATAACTCATTATAGTTGCCCATCATTTGTTGAGTACGAAACGTAGTTGAACTATGGTTGCCAGGATCAAGAGCGAGAACAGGATCAGGCGCGGGGGATTGTAAAATGCTGGAAGATCCACATAATTGAGAGTGTAGTCTATACAATTGATATGTTAGGGACATTATTCGAAAATTCAGCTGCCAAGGTATCCTTGCTACTAGGCGCTTGCTAAGGCGGTCAAGACCATAGTTGAACTACGGTAGTCGAGCTTAGGAGTGAGAACAGGATTAGACGCTAGGAATCATGAAATGCTAGAAGATCCACATGCTTGGAGTGTCGTCAATATAATGCATATGTTAGGGAGATTATTCAAAAATTTAGCTGCCGAGCCCTACCTGGGCGTCCTTGCTACCTAGGTAAAAAGGGGTTTAGGGTGGCTATCTAGTCCCCCAAACCCCAAAAAAGTGTGAGCCCCCTTAATAAAGGGCTTACGGTCTTTGGGATGATATCACTGATTTTTAGCTGCTCTAATGGGAACTAATGGTTAATTTGAGAAATTAAATTGTGCCTTCCGCTGGTTATTTCAGAAAGATAACTTCTTTTATTCTTTAAACATGATTTTGAAATGATCGTTGATGATAAAAAGGACTAGTCTCAATGATATTTGGTATTAAATGTGCAACGGACCCTCACAAATTAGGGATAGTTGCATGTTTTGGTTAGATGGGAGATTAATTATAAGAAAATTAAGAAATTTAGCTAAATCCCACAAAAAAATATAAAAAATCTGACTAATGATCAATGTAATAAGGGTGTGGTTTCTATAAGGTTGCAACTTTAAACAATCCAATTAGACACCCCTCAAAAGTTAATCATAGTATGTAATTTTGGTGTAAAACATTCTTAGGATTATCTGAAAATCTATTTTCATATCTAACTATAAAATTTTGAACTCCAAAAATGGTTAAAACCAAATAGATCTATGGTTAAAACCAAATCGATCTATAAACATATGAAAATCTTGAAAATGGACAGTCTAAATAACGTGTTGCAAGATGACCTATTTCTGTAACTCAAAATCTCTTTTTTTCGTATTCATACATCTCAATGTCGAGATGATCAATTAGAGGGTTTTTCAACGTTAAAACAACTCTTTCCAATGGATTTTCGGAGGTGCATCTTTAATTCTACATTTTAAAGTTGCAACCTTATACAAACTTTTCCATGTAATAATGTTTTCATATTACAAAATAAAGAATTCGTATGACAAAAAAAAAAAATTATTTCGTATATTCCGTCATGTATGTAATTGAAGTTATTGGGATATTATTTTTGAAAGTGGAAGTTATTGGGATATTGTTGTTTGAAATAAATAGACTCTAGCGCAAAAAATAATGTCTATGTTTAAAATAAAATAGACCATAGCCAAGGTGTAGAAGATGCCTGCCCCAACAAACCCCTTCCTCCCCCCCACAAAGGTGTTTCTAGACGTCCATGACCCCAAACCGCCTAGACGAGCACCTCCACCTACTTGAACATTGGTTAGGGATCTAAATCCCAAATTTTAGGGATTGAGATGACAATATTGATCTTGATCCTGACCTTTTTGAATCTTGATCCCAACCATTTGAGGATCTTGATCCCGACCATTTGAGGATCTTGCTCACAACCTTAAAGAAGAGTATATATAGTCTAGGACTATATAAATTGTTTAAGGTAGGGATCTCTTTATTTATAGGAAACAAGCAATGCAAGTTTATTAAAAGGATAGTTGTGTTGCTAGCCGGCTATAAATTAAGAAAATTATCTGTTTGGTTGTTATCTTGATCTTTAAGGTTGGCGTCGAGATCCCTAATAGTACGAATCAGGATCCCTAATGGTGACAATAGAGACCCCAAAATCTAAAATCGAGACCCTTTAAAGAGTCAGATTCAGCACAAAATCACCGCGTATGTTAGGAGATTCCACCAACTATGCTATGAAACTTGTTTTGAGCAACTCTAACCACTTTTATATAGCCAAGTACATGCTAACACGCAACACCAGCCCCAAACTGGAGTTCAGGGTAATAACGCTTCAAGGGGTATTGATGTCATAAAGATTTCAAAGTATTGTTGGATGGTCATTGTCGTCGTTGTGCACCCTAAAAGGGTCTGCTTCATTGGACCTTAGGTACTCATATATGGGATGTTTACGGTTGATTTTCACTGGTAAATTTGAAAAATCAGATCATAGAAGCTAAGTCACAGTCCTAAGGCCATTTTGAGTAGTTTCAAGTGTGTATGTTCATAACAAGTTCTCTTCTTGGTGCTCTCGGTAGCTCTCGTAGAAAGTGGGGTAGCATAAGCTGATTCATTTTTCTAACAAATTTATGAACTAGGAAGCAGGGGCAAATTGAGGACACAAAAGTCAGTTGAAACATGTGGCTAACTACATAAACGCAGAATGCAGCCTGATTTATGTCAGGTTTGATATTAAAGATCTCACCCCTATAGTACTCCAGCTCATATATGCTCGAAGCTCTTGCATCAAATTCATCAATTTCATACCCTACAAATTAACCATACATCACTATTTTTGTTGATTTTAGATGCATCACTATTCCAATAAAAAAAATCGAAGTCATTTTAATGACGCGTGGAGGTTCAAGTCCTCTTCAAGGCATTGATAATGCTCACTGAACGAGCAATTCAATAACAGAACCAGATCTCGGATCTAATCGATACTGACAAGTTTCATATGAAGTATTCCGGCGATCCCCACGATCCGAGTCCGAGCTGTTGACATGTAGGATATTCAACTATGCAAAAGATGGTGATGCACTGCCCTACACAAAAATATATAATGACAAAGCCACATCTACAAATCTTAAGAAATATTGAGTAGACAAACAATCAATTAACTTGAATGTATAATCACAAAGCCATATTTATGAATCATATGAAATATTGACTAGACAGACAATCAATAAACTTGAAGGCCACGAACACCCAGCTTCATGTAAGACCACACAACAGTACTAATGTAGAGCCACACACCTTATAGGACAGCTGAGTGATATTCTTGAGGGGCCTTCAAGCAGCTCATCATCTGTCATTCGAATAAAAGACAGCACACTCAGTACTTCAAAATATTCACGCACACGCACACACGCGCGTGCTTACACACAAAAAAGGATCTCAAGTCAAAATATCTGCATGATTGCACGGATACCCAATAAAACTGACATAAAGGGGGCATTGTTTGCAGGAAATTACTCCTCAAAAGTCATTCTTGAGGCATTATAAATCACTCAAAAGTTGACCACAAAAACATGGTAAATAACAACTGTCATTAATGGAGACACCAGTGCGCTCTCCTTAACCAAAACAAAATACATAATGAAAGGCATGACGAGATCATGAGATGTGTCAGAAAAGCATAACATAATGCAGCAAGGAAACGCCTCATCCAAGAGAGATCAAGTTCAAACCAAGATCGCTGCACATCCATGACAAAACTAGACTCATACCCATATTACAAATTAGAGCAAAACCTATATTACATAGACTCTTCAATTTGGGTGCCATACCCATCTCATACATGTATTGAAATGCATTCCGACACAAATTCTTCCTGTTGTTTATTTAACATTGATTACATCAGTTTAGAGAAGATCTTCTTTTTTGTTCCGACTAGAAACGAAAACTTTAAAAGTGTCAGTGGAACTTTCAAAAGAATATGGAACTTCAAAAAGTTGTTTGGATTCAGCTAATTAAGGAACAATTGAGTAGTTCCCGTGACTCATCGTGAAAATGGAATATTAGTAAAATTTTGTTGGATTTCAATTTTCATAATATAACAGTGTTACCAAATCCTCTTCTTCATGGGACGAGAAATCTAACACCCCACACCTGTGTCAGACATAGACACATCCTACTGCCCATGCAACATTGGGCAAAACAGTAATGTATGGATTCACTAAAGATAACATTGAGTACATTAGGCAGCCTATAGCAATGTCCTAGGCAGCTTATAGCAATGTCCTATTATATCACAATCCAAAAATAGCCCAAACAAATCAATAGCTTAATATTAGGTAAACCTTTACGATAATGCATACTTGGACGAAAAATTTAAGGCAAGTACCACATATACCAAAATCCCCAAGAGGAATGCTCATTTGCGGATGGAAAGCTTAAAGAGGACGCCAAGGGATTAAATGCTTAATGATGCACAGTAACAATCTCATGGGCAAGTAAAGGTGGTCATACAAAATGCACAGAATAAGTAAAGGTGGTCATGCACATGCACAAACACCTGAGTTATAAAATATAGCATGCAGTCAATGTTTAGAATGGAAACCTATCGACTTTTCCTCTTGCCTAAAGACATAAAGTTATCACCATGAGAAACACGATACCCAACACTATAGAATCCCAGACATTCAAAGATCCTAGTCAATAAGAATCAGAGTAGGCAATTTGATTTCAACGTGAGCAACCAAACATGACATACCCAAGCTCTGAAGAATTTCTAATATAGTTATGTACTTCAGCACCTTTTCAATGACAAAATACCACTCATTTAGGCATCCAACTGGTAAATTTCAAGCATGACATTTCGCAGAAGATACCACAGTCCATTGTGTGTGCGCCTCAATATTTCAACCCTTTCAAATCTTCCATCCGACATTCTCCTATTATCCTTAATTCCACATTCTAAAATGTTTACCATGCAGTCACAAAATTACATGTTCCTTCAATATGTTCGCGCTCTCCAACTAAACTCAAAAACCTGGAGTTCTCTCTCTCTCTCTACCACAAACCCAAACTAGGGGTGTAAGTTCTCAGCCCCCAATGGGATGCGCTTTTCCGGGCTCATTCGCTTCGGCACTCCCGAAGCCGACTTCTGACCATTGCCCGATCATGCTCGACACCTACCCGGCCCCGAGAGGACCCAATCCATTCATATTCGAGTTATGTTCGAGTTATGTTGGCTCGAAGATGCTGAATTTAGTCAGTTGATCCCTGAATGATAGAACTCCTTCTCAACTCGGGTTTCAGGGCGAGTAGGTTTTCAACAACAAAGAAAGATCCAACTCCTCAAAGCCTCCATTAAGGGTTGGAGGAATAACTCTCCTGACAGTTTTAGAACCTTGAAAACGCCCTGTCTTGCGCCCATACAACAGTGGGACAAACTAGAGGAATCAAGGTCTCTATCGGAAGCTAAGAGATTGTTGTGATCCAATTTAAAGCTTGAACACTTTTCTATCCTCAAAAAAGAGGAAATATACTGATGCCAAAGGTCACGCATCAAATGGCTGAAATTTGGCTATCTCAATACAGCTTTCTTCCACAAGACAGCTAATTGCAAGAGGCGGGACAACACTATCACTCGCATCAAAGTGGGAGACGCAACATTGGAACACCTGCTGAAATTCAACAAGCTATCATTGACTACTTTCAGAACCTCTTCTCAGCTCCGCCCAGTCCCAAACCTACCTTGGGTGATCTCCCTTTCCTTTCTCTCCCACCCGAGAAGGCCACTTGGCTGGAACAACCCTTCTCTGAAGAGGAAATTATCAAGGCTATTCACAACCTAGGCCAGGATAAAGCTCCTGGCCCAGACAACTTCCCTGTTACAATCCTTTCCACTTTTTGGAGTGTTCTTTGCCATGATACGCTTGCTTTCTTTGAGGAGTTTTATGAGAGAGGCATTGTCCATAAACCCTTGAATGCAATCTTCATTACCCTAATTCCCATGATCGAAGGGCCTGAGGAACTCAAGGATTTTCGCCCAATCAGCCACTCAATAGATCATTCAAAATCTTGGCCAAAGTGTTGGCGTCCCCTTGAAAGAAGTTCTAGGCCAGGTCATCCCCCTAGCAAGGGGCTTTTGTGAAAGATCGACAAATCCTAGATGGGGCCATAATGGCCCACGAGTGTATCCATTTTAGGCATCTAGCTAAGCTCTCGGGCCTTATTCTAAAACCGGATTGGATCAAAGCCTATGATCACGTCAATTGGGCTGTGCTTGATGAAACTCAACGCCGAATGGGCTTCAGCCATAGGTGGAGATCTTGGATCTGGAGCTGCATCTCCAGTCCCCACTACTAAGTGCTTACTAACGGCTCGCCTAAGGGCTTCTTCCCCTCCTCGAGGGGATTATGCCAGGGAGATCCGCTTTCCCCTTTCTTGTTAGCAATTGTGGCAGACGTGTTCAGTCACTCCATCTCCAGGCTTTTTGATGCAAGTTTCCTCCCTGGCGTTAAGTGCAGGTCTAGGGGACTTCAATTTTGCATCTACAACATGCCCATGACGCCCTGGTTTTTTGTGAGGCTTCCCCTCAAAAAACCAATGCCCTCTTCTGATTCCTTAAATTATTCAAGTGGACCACTGGTCTCAAGATGAACTTGGGAAAATCCAAAATGATTGGGATAGCGCTCAATCCCACCATAACATAATCCTTGGTCGAAAGTTGGGCATGCACGACTAAGACCCTCCCCTCTTCATACCAAGGCCTTCCCCTTTGCATAGGAAGACCAAAACTCGATGCCTGGGCCCACATAATTGATAAATTCGAGTGGAGGCTGGCATCTTGGAAAGGTCGCTTTCTATCCCCAGCTAGAAGATCGACCCTCATCAAAGCAACCCTCTTCAAGATGCCCTCACCGATCCTCAAGCATCTTAATTTCTTGATGAAACAGTTCCTTTGGGAAGGGGACAGGAAGAAGCATAACTTCTGCCTATTGACCTGGGACAAAGTGTGTGCTCCATGACTCCCCAGAGGCCTTGGTATTCGTCATCTCAAGCTCACAAACACAGCCCTTTTGGGCAACTGGTGGTGGCGTTATGCCACTCAACCCAACCTTCTTTGGAAGTCAGTGTTGAATTAGAAATACAACCTGCAACCTTCTTCCGAGCTCCCCCCTTCGAGGCCATACAGTAGGACCTCCGGCTTCTGGAGTACTCTGCAAAGTACCCTTAAGTCCTGCAAACTGAATTCTCGGATTCTTGCTTGTGACGGATGCCATACCAAATTCTGGTTGGACTTATGGATAGGTTCCTCAACCTTGTGTGATCACTTCCCATCCCTAGTCGCTCGATGAACCAACAGGAGTTAGTGGCTGAGGTGTTCCAAATTCTTGCCCACAGAGGAATTACGGAGCCCCATATGCCTTCGTGATGCTGAAATGGAGGAATTCATAGAACTATCTGCTCTTCTGGATGAGCATCCCCTTGTGGGGCAACCATAGGCTCATATGGTGTCCCTCCCCCTCGGGTTCCTTCTCGGTCTCATCCTTCTACCACAAGCTCACTCAACCTACTATCTTTCCCCTAAACCCCCCTCCTTAGTTGCTCGGACTTGGTTCTCCTTGGTGCCATGCAAAATTTAGTTCTGCACTTGGTTGGGCTTGCACCAAAGAGCTCAAACCGCCGACCTCCTTCAGAGAAGAGGCATCCCCATTCCAAACCAGTTCACATTGTGTCTCGAGGCGGAGGAGACAAATGCACCTCTTTCTCCACTGTCCTTTTGCATACTCTTTGTGGGGTCTTCTCCTCAACCTTTTCAACTGGCAGTGGGTAACACGCCAATCTATTCCTTGTCTTTTTTCCTCTATGCAGCCTCACCCGTGGGCGGAGTCGGATCGTTTGCTTTGGAAGGCCTCTATCTTTGCTCTCCTCCGGACATTCTGGATTGAGTGAAACAATCGGATCTTCCAAGGCATATACAAGTCCCCTAAAGTGCTTTTCGATCAGATTAAGTTCCTTGTCTCATTTTGGGCATCCAACCACAAAGTTTTCAAAGGTATTCATCGGTCAGCATCATTCCAGCTCAATTGGCAGCCCCTCTTCCACCTTTCGCAACCCAGGCTTCCCAGTCTCCCCTCTGGTCGCCCCCCATCTTAGGAACCACCAAATTCAACTTTGATGGGTGTTCCCTAGATAATCCCGGTCAGGCAGGCATAGGTGGTCTCTTCCAGAACAATGAGGGCCACATTCTTGCTTCCTTCTCCAAATTAACTGGTCACTCCGACGCCCAATCAGCGGAAGCCTTCTCCCTTTTAGAAGGTCTGCGATTATACAGCTTGCAATGGACTTATCCTC